GCTCGACTTTTATCTTGCTTTCTTTTCAATCATTCAAATTCTTTCTTTCTTCTTTCTTTCTGTCATTTAAGTTTCGTATTATCTCAATTAATTTTACATTGTTTGTTTGTTTCTTTCTTTCTTTCTTTCTTTCTTTATTCCTTTCTTTCTTTCTTTCGTCTATTTTTTATTTGTTTTCTTTTTCACCTGCTTTGTTTATTCCCCCTTTTTCAGTGACATCTTTTAAAATAAATTATATTCTCTTTCATAATTCTTTAAACATTTTCTCCTGTAGGTATTTTCTTTCTTTCATCCTTTCTTTCTAACCATTTCTTTATTTTTCATTCTTCCTGACCTTTCCTCTTCCATACATTGATTAAACCCAATGATCTGTTTAAAGTGAATTAAGGTAGCATTAATATTATTGATATCTTTTATTTTTCCGAAGATGATTATCCTTAAAAATAAATAGCTTAATTCATTTAGTGTATTAATAAAGAATACCAAGTGAAACTCGTCGATACGACTACACACTCCCATTTAACCATCTATTTCTTCCCCTTTTCTTTAGAAACTCAAAGTATATGATGGTGTTTTAAGTGCGAAAGACAATATCGATGTGTTCTTTTTTCTTGCATTCCTTTATTACCCTAGAATATACAGTCATAGGCAAGAGGGAAGCAAAAATGCGATCGACAAATTGGAGACATCCAAATCAATCAAGTCCATAAATTTAACAATCCGCAAAACTAAAGACGCGTTAGAATAGCGAAAGATGCCCCTCAAAAGCTAAAGAAAGTATTAAGTAACAGAAAAAGTTCGTAGCAAACAAGGAAATAATGCAAAATTGCGATGTAATCAACATAATAAACAATTTCCTCACAGATGAAGCGGAGACTTGAGGCGACAGAAGTGTGGTTGTATAGAATGATATCATGAATAGATCATGTGAGATAAAATTTTATGGAAAATGGGAATGAAAAAAACGCATGCTTTGGATAAAAAAGAGACAGTTGAGTTTCTGGGCTATATAACGAGGAAAAAGGCTTGAACAATTTGACTCTCACAAGACATACGGTAGGCAAGAGAGGCAGAGAGAAACAGTGATTAACTTATCTAACGAGCTTGTGTAAATAGCAGAACTGGGAGTGATAGTAATGGGAAAAAATGTTGTTAAGAGCTACAGGAGGATATGGTGTGTCATGATGACCCACACCCTGAAAGACATGGATGCGTTTAATTTAATGAAAAGTTACAAAGAAAAATAAAAGAAATGAATATAATTTGATAAATATTAATTTCCTTAATATCAATTTACTCCATGTAAATTGATATTCAAATTAAGAACAAATAATTATATTTATACATAGGAGGTGTCACTAACAATTTGGTCGGTAAATTTATCCATATATATATATATATATCCATCATCATATATATATATATATATATATATATATATATATATATATATATATATATATATATACTAGGTACGATGGATAAAAACATGAAAATAACAGACATCACATTTTAACAAATATATTAATATATTAACCAAAATTACACAAAAATATATTGAAATACTAAAAAGTAAATTTATTCAATAAAATCGCCATTAGCATCAACTACGGCCTCCAGACGACCTCGGAATTTCCTGCAACTCTTCTAAGGCGGTCTTTTGTTTAAGTTGGTGAATGCTGCCATAATCCTCGCCTTCAATTCATGTTTGGTGTTACAAGGAGATTTGTCGGTTTCTTGCTCAACTGCGCCTCACAAATAATAATCAAGGAACTTGCAATCTTAGAAGTTAGGTGGCCAGATGTAACAGTGTTGTGGTCGCAAAAATTGTCTGAAAGCCATGACTGGTGTCTCCTGCTTGTGTGGCATGGTGCAGAGTTTTGTTGCCAGACATAGGGTCGTCTTGCGTTTACCCCCGACCCAGAGCAGCACTACCTCCTCAAGGCACTTGATGTAGACCTCCGCGTTGAGTGTGTGGTACTACAGGAAGATGTATCGAGGCATAATGTCGCCACCACTAGTGATCCCTTCAAACGCCTTCGTAATCACCATTAGACTCATCCAACTCTTTCCGAATACTTTGCACTGTCCTACGATTGATACCCAAATACTCTAAAATGTTAGTATTGGAGCTGCCAGCTCAAATGCCAAACAGTACAGCATGCCGTGAATTGCATTATGTAGCTTTTTTTTCTCACAGACGATGGCCACTTGACCCTACTATAATGTACACTCAACCAAATATAAAAACAACGTGCATGCGCGAAATTAAAAATATGTAATGGTGACAATTTACCCATCGCACACACACACTCACTCTCTCTCTCTCTCTCTGTGTTTCTTTCTCTCTCTCTCTCTCTCTCTCTCTCTCTCACTCTCTCTTTCTAATTCACAACGTATTCCCTGGAGTATTAATTAGAATGAGAATTGGAGTCAGAATTCTACTCAGAAAGGATAACGTATGAAATACGTATTAAATTCCGTTCTCTTATTCCACTTTGCGGTCTGTGGTATATTGCATTGTGACATCTTTGTTGTTTATTCATGTGTCTTGATTGTTATTGGTGAAATAACAATACCAGATTTCTTTTTCTTTCACACTTTCCTTCTTATTTTCTTTCGCGTTTTTATTCAGTTTATCAGTCGCTGCAGATTCGATCTAGAAAAGCTGTTTTTCTTTCCTTCTATTTGCGTGCAATGATATTGAATTCTGTGCATCACAAACTAATCGATGTTTTTTATGTCTTTTTAATTAAAATGTGTTGCTTTTTTGTATTGACCTGTGGTTGACCTTCTGATTATTGCAGTTCTCTTCTTTACAGGAGACATGTCATAAGATCTTCACTTTAACTCAGTGAATTTATCAAGATTAACGCATAGAGGTACTCTTTATCAATATGAGTATCTGCAATGAATTCGAGCAGAGCCAATCATCGTTCCTCTTGTTGACATGAACATTGATCATTTGTGAGTCGATCTGTTTGGCGGCTGGTGCTACGAGCACATTATGCGTTTTCATTTCCTGTGCCAGACTGAACACTGCTATGCTGATGTTCTTGATAGGAAACAGGAAGGTTAAAATTCACGTATGCCGCCTAAGATGATATTTGTTTATCCTCCATTCATCGTCAACTATAGGTATGTTCTCAAATAACTGGCGTAACCTGTATGTTTGTAAATATCGATATATCTACATATAGTAAACATGCACATATATGTATTTTCAAACATTTCAACTATTTCAACATTTTCTAACTTTATAATCTTTGCATTTTCAAATTTCTCGCTGACTTCTTCGTTGTATACACGTTTTAAACTGTTTTTACATTTCTAAGAGTTCGTTTGCATAAATAAGACATTTCAGAGTTATTTGTTGCATTAGGCAATCATTGTTTTGTATACTATCTATCTATCTATCTATCTATCTATCTATCTATTAGTGCAGTAATTAGTTGTTTTTAATATAATTTAACCTCGTCTTTCAAATATTCCCACTAATACCAACCCCTTATTATTAAGTTGCTCTTTTTAAAATCAGTGAAGACTAAGATTATATACTCATATATATTATGCATGCATAGGCCGTTTATAATTATTATCAATGGCTTCATCGAAATATTTACCAGAAAATGATATCAATACATCTCTTTTTGCTATGATTTTTCTCTTTTCATCCCCTTGGGCTGCTTAAATGCGTCAGAGAAATCCTGGAAGAAAGACTGTTTTCTTCAGAGTCTGTTTTGCTAGCTGATAACTAAATTCGAATGGCGCCACACTCTTTTTTTATCTGAGCAACAATCATATTTCACTTCCCTTGCAAAGTCAGAGTATCGCCTCTCAGATTGGCCCCAAATTCTTGTGACCGACCACAGTGATTGTAAGGGTGTGTAACTGTGCCGAGGCAAATCTTGGCATGCTTTTTTTCTTAGAGTGAAGCTCTAATTGGCTAAATTAAATTAGCTATCCATTTCTGATCAGATAGAACGTTTCCTGTTTTATCTTCATTCTACTGTCACCTTGTGTTGTATCTGTAGACGATAAAGAAGTAATAGTAAATTCAGGTTTAACACAAACTTTATTGAAGTGGCTGAATGCATTAGAGTTTATGGCTAACTATGCATTTATACATTTGAACGTTTACGTTAAATTATGCGACTCATCGGGATGAAGCACATTTCAAATTGAAGTACTATATTTTTCCTGATAAGAGTATCTTGAGTAAATGACAAATCACTTCTCTTTCTTTTGTCGTTCCCTTTGTTTTTCTGTTTGCCTCTTTCATTCATTTTCATTATTATTCTCTTTCTCCCTTCAAGAACGTTTTTCTCACTTTACTCTGTTGTCTTATTTTTCACTTTTTATCTTCATTTGTTATAACAATTGGAAATCAGATCGTAATTTTCGTTTTACGTTTCTTTTTGGCACATCCATTTTCTTTCTTTTTTTCTTTCTTTCTTTCATCATCGTCGTTGTCATCGTCGTCATAATTTTCTCGTGATCTGACGGTATTAGGGTATAAAATTACAGTACTGCTCATGTGAATAAGTGCAGGGAGCAACAGAAAACATTTGTCTTCAGTATCTCTGTGTGTGTTTTAATAAAAATAAGAATTAAGTTTCCAGTTTTCAAAAAAGAAAGTACTAGAAACTTTTGCACAATTTGCAATAATTCTACAAAGTTTTCCGTTTTTCTTTTCTCTATTATCAACCAATCAACATATTTCGCATAATTTGTTATCGTTAAACTAAATTTGTTTTTTTTCTCGGTCTATTTCCTCTTTCTTATTTTACTTTTCTAATCCTCTTTTCTTGTTGCCTGCATTTATTCTACTTATGCCTCAACCTTTATTATTCTTACTTCAAAATTTAATTAAGAAGCCTGAAAGACTCATTCCTCCATCCATTCTGTTGTACATCTCAGCTCTAATGTATTTTCTTTACCTTCTATTTGCATTTCTATTTTATATTTAATTTTTTACATAGGTAAATTTAAACTGTTGTTCAAGGAAACGAATCGACTGCACCAACAATAAGTAGATGAGAAAGGAAAGCATTAAGCTGATACAGGAAAAACAGCCGAATATGAGGAAGATTTTTGTTCTTGTTCTCAACTTTAATTTTTTTTCTTTGAGTTAAATACCAGGTAATGTTAATGAACCATGCTTTGCATTGACAAGACTCCACAGCAAAATGAGTTAATCTGAAATCAGAATTTGACTCCATTGAGAAGAAAACGATAGATAGATAGATAGATAGATAGATAGATAGATAGATAGATAGATAGATAGATAGATGCAAATTAATATAATTCTTTATATTTTATTTTTTATTCTGTTCGTGTGTCGGCGGATTAAATTCTAATAATTTTATAAAAGCCGAATTGTTTTCTTAATGCTTTTAAAATATTGCAGTTGTGTCATTATTTTTACAATCTAGTTGATAGAGAGGTAATCGATGATGACACAGAATTATAACCTGATATATTTCTTTTTACTGTAATTTTTTCTATGAACACGATAATGTACAAAGTCGTGAATTACGCAAAAACCTACAAACCTTACATATGTTTGTTTATATAATAACATTACACACACATTGTTGACTTCACAAAATATTTAACCCTGACTTAACATTCTCAAAGTCTTTATTGGTGGAAAATTTTATCAGTTGAGGATCCGACACAAGTTAATGGTAACGCGTCTTAAAAAATGTCAGTTCATCTAGACATAAATGAATAACACACCTACCCTAACCTCCAACCTATATTTCTGACTTTTCTGCTTTAGCCTTGACCAGTCTTTTGATTGGTTAATCTAGACATACCCACAAAATTTTGAAATCTTCCCGCGGCCTTTTTAGCTCTTTAATAAGCTACCGCATTGTTTTCTGTTTCCAAAAGTAAATCGTTTTCATTATAACATCGAACACTTTTAAATTCCGAAACAGAAATTTTAATGTCGCGATGTAAAATATTTTTAAATAAAAATATTATATATATATATATATATATATATATATATATATATATATATATATATATATATGTAAGAAACATATATTTACATTGATCAAAATTAATCTGCAAATAAAAAGAAAAATGATCAGTCTATGATTGAATGCATGGTCCTCTATCGATTACTCAGTAAACGACGAAGTTGATATTAACTGCATCAATTTTACAGTGAAAGGGATGTGAAAGGCTAATTAATTTAGATCAGACCCGATTAACACCTGTCACAAGCATTAAAGTTTGTGGCAATGTAATGATAGAGTAAAAATACGAACATTAATTTATCTCTTTAGTTTCTTGTCAGGTGTCTATCAAAGCAGAAGCGGGAAATATATCTTGACAATTGCATTTTTAAAATGATAAAATCCTCAGGTTGCATCAGTTTTTTTCCCCTTATCGAAAGTCTGTCGGAAAGAAAGCGACTTGCGCAAGTCATATTTGAAGCATTTCCTTCCACCTTTTTATGGCAGATGAGTGATTTAACGCTGTTTCTGAATGTGCAAGTGGAATCTTTTTTTATTAAATTTAGAATTCACCTTGGTAAGGCAATATCATGAACCTATTTTTCCAATTCTCATGTTAATTTAATTAATATTAAAATATTTTCTTATTTTTCTTTCTTTCTTTTTTTAGTTTTGTTTCCAGAGCTTCGTGATAAAAATGAAAACAGAAACACGTAATAATAATGATGGATTACTTTCTTTTATGAAGTAGACAGCCCAGGAGATTTTAAAAAATTAAAAGGTATTGCAATAATCTGAATATACTTGAAGTTTTAAATTGATTTAATTTGTTAAAAATAGCATAAAGCTAGTCATCAAAAATAAAAATTAATTCTGCATATTTAAATCAGGTTTTGTACTTTAATTTTATATAACTGCAAGTTGCTTTGATTACACAATTTTCATGTCTGTCCACAATACAATTTAAACTCTGTTATAAAGAATCTTCCAAAAAATAATTTTTCCGTCATAGAAACAGAATTTGATAAAAAGTAATTCGTTTCTTATTAATTAATTGGATTTTTAAATAATTAATTAGATATTTTTAGAGAATGCCTGTTAACTGTCAACATAGTTCAAAGGTTAAGCGACAGGGTCAGCCATAGAAAATGCGGAGCCCAATTAGAAACTGTTTTGGTCAAGATTCCAAGTTCACAGCTGAAGTCTGTAAAATCATTTTTAAACATCTAATATTAGAGCAATTAATTATCTAGATTTATGTAAAACTTAAATACATGAATTTGCGTATTTAAATCTCTGTTTAAATATACAGAACGATAGTTTTAAACTATTCTGTAACACTGCAAATAACATTATTTAAGTTAAATGCAGGAAAAATAAGTTCAGAAGATAAACAATTATTTTTATGTCATCGTACTTCGACACATAGGTGATCGTGAATTTTCATAGATTTTTTTTTATTTATTATTGAATTGCTATGACTTTCTGAATACATGGTAGAGTAATGGATAGAAGTTCAGTGTTAGGAATCGGATAACTGAGTTCGAATTCCAATTAGGTTCATTACATTCACTTACATGCAAATACACTTGGGGAAAAGTACGAATCTCTCTTTTTTTAAGCAATTCAACCCAAACAAGACAGGAGTGAGATTAGCACGCAAGGGGTTACTGAAGACTGAGAACAAGAGTAAAGAGGCGTGTTTGAGAAAAGGATACAGAGAAGGACAGAGAACAAGACCAAGGTATCAGATGTCGATTGCCATTACACTTGAATATTTGAAGATTATAGTTATCAGGGAAGCAAGCAAGAGGAAGAGGACTCAACAGACAGGAAGTGCGAGAGAAGAAGCTGTTTGAGTAGAAGAGACGGTTATATTTAACCATGTCGACAGTGAAAGGGTGGAATCAAGATGCCAGCCTAGTATCACGCTTAAATTCATGCAGTCTGGGAACCAACGAAAGTAGCTCGTTGGAAAATACTTGTAGAAAAGACAGAGGGAAGCCACGACACCTGTGAGAAAGCGGCTGTAGACGGGATGCCAGATCAGGACATATCGCATTGCAAATTCGGCTCTAGATTTTGTCGAGGGCCTCGAGACGTACAGCAGGGGCACCAGACCATACATATATGGTCTGGTGCTGTACGTCTCGAGCTATATTCCATGCAAGGACGGATGGTTGATTTATAGATTTGAAGGATGGACTCAGATGAGAAAAACTTTCTGGCATGACACAGAAAACCAACTTGCCTTGCGATAGAGGAAGCTATTGTTTCAATGTATTTGTCCCACCTCATGTCAGTAGACAGCGTGACACCAAGCAGGCGTAATGAGGTGTTCTCGAGGAGTTGGGCAACAGTCATTCTGTTGGGAGACAGGGAGGATTCTGTGTTTGGTAAAGAAGAGCAGTTTCGTTTTGGAGGCATTAAAGTTTACAAGCCATTTCCTGCTCCAGTCAACCATGTATCTTCCCCATCTATAGATAAATAGCAGAATCTTAGGTGGCAGCCGGTTAAGGAGGACAACTCCAACTATGGATTAAATAGCCTCACTAACACAGAATTAGTCAATAGTACATGGTCTATCAGGGAGTGGCTCCTCAAACAGGAGAGGGAATGCCCTGCATTTAGATATGGTTCCTTGGGAAATATTGTGGATTGGATTTTCATTTTCTTCCGTCTTGAATTGAGAATTATCGTTCTAACTTGACTGCCATCCGAGGCAAGAGATCATAGTATACCGAACTCTATAACACACACAGACATATGTGGAACCAGACATCGCCAAAATCTTTATGACAAACTTTCTGAACTTCTTAAATATCTGAAGAAGGTATGAAAAAAAATCTTCGCTGAAATTCCTTTGACAGCAATTCCGGGTAACTGTCGTACTTACCAAAGATACATACAGACTCAGTATTGGCACTTTTTTCAACTCCTTGTACATAGGAAAATGAATCAAGTTTTTATGTGACAACTGGGACTTCAGTAAACCTAAATTTGCAATGAAACACTTGGTATCATCATATACCTGAGAGATGATCTTATTTTTACCTTGTAATTTCAAATTAAGGCCACTTAATTGGATAGTAATATCCACCGAAAAAGCTAGATCGTGGAGTCAACGTTCATCTTTCAATTCATCTGTGCTTTGACCCTTCATCTCTAAAACCAACAATTTCGTGTCGCAATAAAAAAACTCTTAAAAATCAGTACCTTGTGACATGAAAGGCACTGAACTTCTGTGTAGAATGGGACATTTGTGAACTGATTATTCACTTCTTCCAATAACTGGCTAAACTGATGGTGATGCAGAGCATGACCTCTGATATAGTTCACACTTTTTATGACAAAACTCAACACATGATCTAATTTTAAAAGCTTAGAACATAATTTCTGTTGAATTATATAGTGAATTTGGATATACGTCTTCTATTTTTGTGCCTAACTTGGCAGCAACACCATTATGTCTCCGGACCATATTGGCAGAACCATCAGTAGATAAACACACAAGTTTACTCAAATCAAGGCCATACTCATAGAGAAGCTGCTCAACTTTCTCAAAAATGTCCTGGCTTTTTGAAGTATCATACATTGGGACCAGTTCAATTAGTCCTTCATAAATTTGATATCCGTTGTCACAAGCCCTGATGAAAACGAGCTGTGCTATTCTAGCTATGCAACGGTCTCATCCAGAGCAATAGAAAAATGTTCAAAACTTGATGATGAAGTCTTACTGTCGACTCAAATCACCTGCCATTTCATCAATCCGTTCAGCAACAGTGTTCCTGTTAAATGAAATGACTTGAATTAAGTGGGACTTCTCTGGACATACAATTTCAACTGTTTTTACAAGACATCACTATCAAATCTCCTTAACTGTAAGAGTTTCCACTGATGACGATCATTTTGCAGAGTTCAATGCTTGCAGTAAGAGAACTAACGTTGCCTTTCTGAATTTTTTTAGAGCAACTCTGTTGCTGTGTTAACCTTGAATTCCTTCACTTTTGAAACACGCATATCATCTTAATGTTTGTCATAAGATCGATGGTTTGTTTCATAATGTCTTTTCATATTATATTCTTTCAGCGTTGCCATGCAATGTTTCCAAATCAAACAGTTTAGCTTCCCATTAATAGTGGTACAAAAGTACTGTAATTCCCACTTTTCTTGAAATGCACGTCCTTCTTCACATAATTTTCTCTTTTTACAAGATGGAGTAGAATTCGACATTTTAAAGGCAAAATATTACAAAATTACCAACGTTTTCACTTTACATTTGTTCTTAGTTAGTTGTCAAGGATGATCACATGATTAACCGGAAGTTAAAAATAGTCACTGACATTCGAAAACAAAAGACAAAACAATTTAATCATAACAAATGAAAAAAAATCTCACTGTTTTTAATAATTTGCATTATCAACATAGACAAAATTCTCGATATACCTCGGCTATAGAAAAATTGTGAGGGCCGCCAAGATGCATATAAAGGGTTGCATGCGGCCCGCGAGTTTGACGCACCAGCCCTAGGGCAAGACCGCCCTAAGTGAGAAGACCAATAGATTCAATCTGCTTAACGACAGATCTGTATAGTGGGTATTTATTTTTATTTTGTCATCTAAGTAATGAAAGTTTATTTAAATTTACTAACATTTAATAGGACATCTGATGGATGGATAGTCAAAAATGGATAGTCATTTTGTGTTTGTGCAAATGACCTCTATCACTGTCAATTTACTCGCCCGAAAACCACTCAAGTGGAACTATTTTATTACGGTGCGTAATAAAAACAAACGTTTATCATGTCTGTTAACACAGAAATCAAATAAAAGTCATACTTGCGACTCAGTTATAAATTTCGCTCTGTGCTAAATGTTCATGCTTCATACTATTCAGAATATGTATTTTTTTAAAATTATTTTTTAATCAAAATATTAGACATTCGTGCTTGTAGTAATCTGAAAAAATAGAAAATGAATTGTTTCTTCATCTATTAAAGGTTAATAGTAGTTAACCAACGTAGAGATAATTACAAATGATCACCAAACATCATTCGCAGTTATTTCAAAAGCTTTGTATATTTCTCTATATTTTAATCTGATACAATGATCTAGCTTCGCACTTTTACGAAAGTCATACTTATTTTTGTTTTGTTTTCGTCAAACTCTTGTCAACGAAATGTGTTTATTTTTCTCCCTTAAATATTTATTATTTGTAGAATTATATATGCAGCTTTTCCTTCTATGGATATTACACTACAATTAACTTTTATGAAATTTGGAAAAGATTTTTAACTCTGTTACTGTACTCAACACACATTACCTACACGACTTCATTCTGCAGTGTGTACATTTGTGTACTTGTAACATTTACAATAGCTACATGCCATTCACACAATCATCCAGGCAATCAATTTTCTTTTCTTTTTTTCTTTCTCCCTTTAGGATGAAAAGATTTATTTCCAATCATTATTTTTGCCGATTTTCTCCTCTTAATGAATGAAGTGGTCGCCTAGGGAAATGTATAGGAGAACCGACTTTGCAAACACTATACGAGGAAAAGAATAATGTTATAATTTGTAATCTATTGTCTGTTTAACTTATTGCTTGTGTTTTGAATTATTTACCCTAAAAATTATATATTAAATAAGGAAACCAATTTATAGAGTTGCTTGCGAAGATGAAATTGCTATTAAGACTTTGTAACATCAAATGCTTACCAAAATACAAGAAATAATTTTGTATGATCATTAGAGCGGTGTGAGTTATCGAATACTTAACACACAGATAATGAGAAAATATCCGAACAATTATTAAAGTGATTGTGTTTGGTGAAAAGCTAACAAGATTAAGAGAGTGAGACACAGAAACTAATACTTGAATGATAGACATGCAGCTGTAATTTTGTAGCCAGAGATGCACCTTATTGATCCGTCTGCAGGGTGAATTAATAGGTCTCTAGCATGATACGCAGTTATTAACTAAATGTTGATCTGAAATTTTGACTGTATAATGTTTTAGTTATGTGGTTAATAATCACCGTTATATTACGTGAAGGCTGTGCTTAAAAAGAAGCTGTTTCATCATTAAACCCAGACATACTGATATATCGACGTATGTCTATAGCTTGAGATACTTATTAACTGAATAGTGTTAGATCTATGTGATCAATGGAGAAGAATTGGGGATTTACAAGAAGGCGATTATGTTGAAAATAATTATGTGTTCTGTAGAATAAAATTCTAATTCATTATTAGATTACGAACTGATTGACAATGTTGCAGGTACATACGATGGACGCTCCTAAAGTGATACAGGTAACGCAATAACACCATTCGACGGAACTTTTTTTCTGCTGCAAAAACTATTTTCCCACATACTCATCACCATTTTCTATGAATTTTCACCAGCATTGGTTAATATCTCTTCATTTCGTTGGTAAACGAACAATAAGCATTGCGAAATATCAATGGGGAACATTTTTTCATATGGAGAAATTTAATCACACCTCTGCTTTGTCATTTTACTAAACGGTTATCTATCCAAAACCAAAATCAAGGTGGGAATGTCTGCTTTTACTGCCATGCTAATCTCTATAATCGTGGCTCAAAGTAGACGAATAGGAAGCCTTGCTTTGGGATCGACTTATGCACACACACACACACACACATATATATATATATATATATATATATATATATATATATATATCTGAATCCATTTATCCATTTGGTTGGATTATGACAAGTAAGTGCGGCTGGAAATTTTCCAGCACCTCCTGCTGATGTAGATAGATAGATAGATAGATAGATAGATAGATAGATAGATAGATAGATAGATAGTCAGTTAGAGAAACTATTTTCTATATTCGTGTAGGAGATGGAAGTGATAGACAAGAGTCAGATATTTTCTATTTTTTCTTATTATATTAGTGCTAAGACGAGCATCCGTTTGGCTTTGACATTTAAATATGACGAACAATGTAGGCATGCATGAATCTTCACAACCGAGATTTGGACGGACTGAAAATGCCAGTGACTATTTCACTGTAAATAACATTCCGCGTAAGTAGGAAGAAAAAATGTTTATGTCCAAGTATTTTTCCCATTCAATCATCATTAACCTCGCTGTTCGTGTCCCTGTTTTTGTTCGACATATATATGTTTATCCATTCCATAATGTATAATTGCTGTTTGGCTGTATCTTCCAGATATTTCTAAATATATTTTAAAATCTATTTCTGTATTCAACCGTAAATGAAAGCAGATCTACAGATTCCTGATTATGCTCACTTTACCAATTTATTTAACGATCGACTTGCAATCATTTCTCAGCAGACCTTAAGAATCGCTATATGAATATATGGAATAACGTTTATCCCGATTATACAACAGTATGTCACTTTATTTGACTTTTCAATTTTGATTTACTCGTTTTGAATTCTTCAGCAACTTTTATAATATTTTTGTTTTTAATTTACGTATGTTTTTTCTACACTTTTCTCTGCCATTTTCTGCTCTTCCATTCATTTCAGGACATCTCTTTTCAAACTCTTCTTTATTTCTATTGTGCTTTCTACGCTACTTTTAGTAGCACACAAATTCGAAAAATGAAAACGTTGACAACAATCTAAACAAGACAATATATTCATAAACTAGTACTGTTATAAAATATTTATTTGCTAAGATCGGATATGTTTCTCATTAGTTTCTCAAATGTTTCCTCTTATCAAATTAATTTTCTTTTATTCTGAGAACAAATATACCATAAAATCGGGATTCTTCTCATTTCATAAAAATCTCATGTTTTAATTTGCGCTTTATTTACTAAAAACTATACCCGTAAATATTTCGCTGACCTTTGATGAAAACATTACAGAATTATTCGCATATGAAAGCTTTTATTTCGTGTGAAATATGGCAAAAAATAATTTGTAATTTGTAATAACAATATTTTTCTAAATGTTGTAAGTGTCAAATAAATACTTTTTATTACTTTTTTACTACTTTCACTTTTCCTACAGAATGCACTGAGACAGGAAACTTTTACTGTCTTTGCGAGCTGGTGGGCTATTTCAAAATGACCGGTTGGTTTTGCTACTTTTTAGTAGCAATATTTAAGTGACCGGATGTAAGACAAATTCCATTTTCGCAATCAGTTAATCTCTATTTCAAGTCATCCGAGAAGGTGTATTTGCCTGTTTGAAACTCACGCTGTTTCTGGATTATATTTATGCTTTAACCGCGGTTTAAACATCTGGCCGTGTGCGACCACCGAATTTATTGCAAATGGCAAGTAAACGATTAAGTAACATCAATCAATTATAATTTACAAAGTGTCGAAACTACGTAACATGATTAAGTAACTATTTAGTGAAGTAAAATAGAGTCCAATCTATTTTTCCGTATAGTGATACCCCACTCTCTGTTGTGGGTGGGACCTATACATAAATAGTATTTCAGAGAATGTATATGATTCCACGTTAGTTTATAGTAGTGATAATTAATAAGTGGTTCTCCTATCTGCAAGTACAATCCTAGAAGGCCTTCAAATATCCAACAAACTAAGAAATCATTTTCTTACAAATGATAACAATGTTGAACGCGCTGTAAAGTTCCAACATGATTTGAAAATGCTTATGGCACGTTATGAAGAATCATATAAAGAACTAACAAAAACAAAATTACAGCGTCTGATAACCGAATTCGTATTCAAAACCAGTGAAACAAAAGAAATACAAGATGTTAATTTTATTGAAGATACACCTGAAGATATATCTCCATTAAATATTTTCATTGACGAGAATGATATTGTGTTACCGAAAAACAACAGAAAGAGGGCACGTTTACTGTCTAGTAGGGACACTGAATAACTGAATAATTATGTTTCATATATATATATATATATATATATATATATATATATATATATATATATATATATATATATAATTCAATTAATTTGTATATGAAAATTAACATTTTTTTTTATTTTGATGGAACCTCACTCAAATTTTCATATGTACACTGTATACTTTTACACGGTTTTTATTTTGTACGGTAGTCTCTGGAAGGTATCTCCCTCCAACAAAAAGAGAATTTAGTATATATATATTAATTGTAATATACTGAAAAATATTCATGAATATATGAAAGGATTATGATAAAATAAGCAAGCATAATGTTTGTAACTTATTCAATCGGACATATATATATATATATATATATATATATATATATATATATATATATATATATAAAATAATATATAATAAAAAAGGCTTAAACACAAATATTCCATGGTCATAATTTATTCCATTGGAATCGTAAATACGATCAATTCATCAGACCTACAAATTCAAAAAAGAAAACAGAAAAAAAAAACAACTCCGGAAATAAAAATAGAATTTTTAGAGAGAGAGTGTAAGTATGAGAGTGTGGGACGAATGCTAGAGCTAAAGAGAGGGTAACAGACGTGAGAAGGTGGGAGATTAAACCTTAACAGAGAGAAGTTTTAGAGAGGTGGGGGAAGAGGTTTAAGTGAGGGAAATATGAATGTTGTCGGATATCTAATACATTAAAGATACATTTCGTGGTGACATACACACACCATAGACGATCTAATCTTAAAGATCAGAATAAGAGGGATGGAGAGGAAAAGAAAAGAAAAAAGGGTGGGGAGAGAGATGGGGCAAAACTAAAACTGAAGGGCATTTACTGAAAGGGCCGCTGTGTAATTAAGAAAATTTGACAAAATTAATATCGACAACAGGTTACAAATCAAATATAAACATATAAAAATAAATATAACGATTATCTAATCTAGCAAGGACCTATATTTTATGTTCAAAAACACATGCGAATACACACATACACAATATATATACACGTACATACATATAGGCGTGTACCCACATACACACATACATATACCCATGTACACACATACACATATATCCACATATATACATACATACACATATACATATATATATATATATATATATATATATATATATATATATATATATATATATATATATATACGCACAGACACATATACATATTCTCACATACATATATATATACATACACATACAAACACACACATACACATACATGTATACATATAATACATAAATACATACACACATACATACGTATACACATACATCCATACACATCCACTCCTACATATATATACACATTTACACACATATATACATACGGACATACACATATGTGCACATAAACATATATACCTAAAACCTTACATCTCCATACAATTACATACACCCATCTAAACAAATAAACAATGTATCCCTATATCTATCCGTCTAATTATACATACATACAAATATACATACATATACACCCATATACAGATATATATGAGTACATACATACCAAAACATACACACACATATAAACACATCTACATATACATCTATCTGCATATACATACATCCATATACGCATACATAAATATACATATACATATATACGCATACATATACATCCATACATACACATACATATACCTGTATACACACCTACATATATACACATATACACACACAGAGCTAAGCACATATATATATATACATATAAATTAAAATGTAAAATCTAAAAAAGTAAAATTTCAAAATTTGCCCCAAAAAAAATTAAATACATAGCGCATCACATTATATCCTTACTCTGTCCTGGACATTGAGTTCTACATGGATTCTATCCTCTTGAAATTTTTAGTCAAAAATATACATGTATGTGTATGCACCTATGTATATATATTTATATATTTTGTATATGTATGTGTATATTTACCACTAATATTATATATATATATATATATATATATATATATATATATATATATATATATATATATATATATATGAAGAAATATATTCTTAAGATGTGCTATATTTATGAGATAAAGTGCTCAATATCAGAGATAGAGCGTGTGTAAAACCAAAAACAATAGAACACGATATCAATAAGGAACCTAAAGCAATCGCCCAAAAATTAGACCTAGATGACCGAATAAGTTGCATCAGCAAGGCGCAAGCCTTTATCACACTAAAAGACCAAGAAAATTTCAAAACCAACCCTGCATGCAGACTCATAAACCCAGCCAAATGCGAACTAGGTAAAATAAGTAAAACGATACTAGAAAGAATTAATTCTGAACTTAGGAAGAAGTTAGGAGTAAACCAGTGGAAAAACACAAAAGCAACTATCGATTGGTTCCACAGCATAAATAACAAACTAAATTGCCAATTCCTACAATTAGACATAAAAGAATTTTACCTAACGCATGTTAGATAAGGCCATCAACTTATCTCAGGAACAAATAATAATAAAACCAAACAAAATCGACATCATTAAGCACTCCCGTAAATCATTACTATTTTACAATGATGAAGCATGGATAAAGAAAGATGGGATATTTGACACTACAATGGGAAGCTTTGACGGTGTAGAGACTTACGAAATCATAAGTATTTACTTACTACACGAACTAAGCAAAATAATAGATAGAAAGGACACAGGGACGACGCTCTCATAATCTTAAGAAACTAAGAAACACAGACAAAACTAGAAAAGCAATAATAAAGATTTTAAAAAATAACGGATTCGACATAGATATAAAAACTAACCTAAACGAAGTAGATTTTCTAGATAATACCTTCAACCTAAGAAAAGGCACATATAAACCATACAGAAAACACAATGATAAACCACTCTATATGCACACATCTTCCAACCACCGCCTTCTATAATCAAACAGATACCAAAATCGATTAACCGCAGGCTTTCCGACAATTCCTCCAATGGATCCATATTTAACAAAGCTAAGAAAGACTACGAAACAGCCCTAAAAGATAGCGGATTCCCAGCAACACTCACATACTCACCACAGAACCCAAAAAAGCCAACAGGAAAAGAAATATCATATGGTTCAACCCACCGTACAGCAAAAACGTAAAAACAAACGTAGGAAAAATATACTTCAAACTCTTACATAAACATTTCCGGAATCAAGCCTCCTACACAAAATATTCAACAAAAACACAATAAAAATCAGCTACCGTTGCACCGAGAACATGGCCCAAATAA